CCCTGCTTGTGTTCCCTCTCTCGCTGTGTCTCTCTCTGTCAAATAAATAAATAAAATCTTAAAAAAAAAAAAAGAAAAAGTAAACCAAGCCTCAGAAACCCACTGAACAATACTAAGTAGTCTAACATATGTGCAATTGGTACCCTCGAAGGAGAGGAGAAAATAGGATAGAAAAAAACCTTGGAGACATAGTGATGCTAATTTTTTTAGACTTAATAAAAACTCTAACCTCACAGATCCAAGATCCAATGATCAACTCCAAGCAAGGTCAGCTTAAAGAAAATCACCACAAAGGCACATGATAATTAAATGCTGAAAAAGAATGATAAAAAATTGTGAAAGGAGCCAGAGGAAGACAATGAATTATATAAGGAAAACAATAAGAATTACTGACTTCTCATGAGAAAACAATACAAACCAGAAGAAATGCAATGACATCTTAAAAGTGAAAGATCAGAGAAGGCCAGAATTCTGTATTTAGTGAAATAAAGGCATTTTCAAGAACCCAAAGCCAAGAATTTGTCACCAGTGTACCCACTGTATAAGAAATGTTAAGGGAGGTTCTTTGGGCAAAAAGAAAATGATACCAGATGGAAACTATGATCCACACAAAAGAATGAAGAGAATTAGAGGGGCACCTGGGTGGCTCAGTTGGTTAAGCGTCTGCCTTCGGTTCAGGTCATGATCCCAGGGTCAGGATTGAGCCCTGCATCGGGCTCCCTGCTCAATGGGGAGTCTGCTTCTGCCTCTGCCCCTCCCCCCCACTGTCCTCTCTCTTTCTTGCTCTCAAATAAATAAATAAAATCTTTAAAAAAAAGAATGAAGTGGATTAGAAATGGTAAATATGTGGGTAAATGTTGCTTTTTTTAAATTAAGAAATATATAATTGACTGTTTAAACAGAAGTAATAGTAATGTACTATGAGGTTTATAACACCTATGACAACAGCAGAAATAAAATGTAGGACAACAATAACACAAAGGATAGAAAGAAGAAAAACAGAAATACAATTCTGTAAGATTCTTAAATTATATACTAAGTGGTAAATTATCCAAAAGTAGTCTGTGATAAACTAAAAATGTATATTGCAAACTCTAGAGCAACCACTAAGACATAAGACAAAGAGATATAGTTAACAGCAAATAGAGCAAACCCATAAGAGCCTATCTTTAAAAAAATGAAATACTGAAGGGGCGCCAGGGTGGCTCAGTCTGTTAATCATCCTACTCTTGGTTTCAGCTCAGGTCTGATCTCAGAGTCGTGAGATCAAGCCCCGCGTCGGGCTCTGTGCTCAATGCAGAGTCTGCTTGAGTTTCTCTCTCCCTCTCCCTCTGTGCCTCCCCCACCTCAAATAAATAAATAAATAAGCAAATCTTTAAAAAATACTCAACTGAAGTCAGGAAAAGAGGAAAAAAGGAACAAAGAACATTTGGGACAATGAGAAAACAAAGAGCAGGCAGGAAGACTTAACCTCAACCATATCAATAATTATACTAAATGTACATGAGCTAAACATGCCATTTAAAAGGCAGAGATGGGGGGCGCCTGGGTGGCTCAGTCGTTAAGCGTCTGCC